ATATAGATCGCGTTACTTGCCGTGTCTATTTAGACATAATCGTCGAGTATTGGTAAAAAGCGCGTATCTTCACGAAACCAAATTTCAAAGGAGAGGGATTTAACGTTATTACTTTGTTATTTCACGACTTTCGTTTTTGCACAGTAAGCATTAATTTAAGTTGTTTAAGGACTGATAACAATAGATTCCCGTAAATCACCCTAATTTGGTTGCCACGAAATTTACGCGGATTTGATTTGGCCACTAAATTACCGAAATGGAAACTCATAATCAAATGATAGTTACGCATAATTGCACTTTCCCCGACAATATTATGTCTGTACTGTACACAAATCAAAAGTATCTAGTTATCAGGCACGTTTTAGCTAATTACTGAAAATCAGGTTTTTTAATTAACATTTTTTAACAACAATGTAAAATCCATTTTAGTAAATCACATTACAGGTAATTCACATCACATTTGATACCGATAACCCGTTTAGACAAATGAAAAATAATTATTAGAAATAAATCCAATACGGGGTGTAACTGAAAGGTGCAGTGGAAATCTAGGAATTAAATATCTAACGGAGATGCTATATACAAAATAACAGCTCTGAGTTGATTTAGATATCTTTTAAATATCACTTTATGAAAAAATTTGACGATGTCCTATCGATATCGACTTTAATTAGTCACATCACTTGAGGGGTCATTTGTCGTGACGTAATGTGTTTTATATTATTTATTTACGTACAATACTTCTACTAATGAGTGCAATAAATGCAAAGCACTTCGGGGTAGAAGACAACGAAAATAAATATCTGATTAGACAGAATCACTGTAACACAGCCCGAATCCAAACATATTCTCATTTCAATCGATTCTAACAGCATAAACTATGGGAACGTGATATCAATAGTTTTGTATAGTTATTTTCATTGCACTAGCTGCTGTTTCATGTACCGTCTTAAAATTGGTAGAATGAAATGATTGAATTGCTAAAATTCCTTTTTTTTTAGCTTTTCGCGGTTGTTTATAAAGCAACGCCATCGCCATGGAACTGATTTTCCTTTTTTATTTACTTAAATTTCAATTCTTTTCACCAAAAATATTTATAGGGTATCCATTTCAATCCACTTTATTGGAAATTAGGTCATCTCGTATCTGTCGCTTACCTTTGAAACTACATTGCTTACAAACGTCTACTACGTTTCTTTTTTCCCACTTAACGTGAAAATATCCTTCCACATTTCATAAATTGGAACGTGTACAATTGTATGTCCAGATCTTTTGTACTAAAAATTAAAAGCGCAACAGCCGTAACATACAGCAATTTGCAACTTTTGTATATTTTTGGCAAGTATGACTTTATAAACAGCTACTGTTTTGGTAACTGGTTTTCAAAGGTAACCCTGAACAGTACCTACTTACCGCATAACGGTAGAATACCGCTTAAACTCGAAACGGTTACCAAAGATTAAGGTACTTAAATCGTAAAGGTGTTCCGAGTTTATCGATAAAAGCATAGTATTCGTAAAGGTTTTCAGACCTACCATCTCTATAATAGCAAAAAGTATACCGTCGACTAAATTGTAAATCTCGTAACCTCTATTAATGCGAACTGTTGATTAGGCACAAAAAACATAATTACTAAGAATAGTTATATGACAATCTATCATTATACCTTTATTTTATAACTATAAAAAAGGTATAGAAGTTATATTTTAAGCTTTAATTGGGGAGATTGTGGGAGGTACCGGCCTTGCTAATGACGTCGTCCGCCATAATTTTTATATTATTTTTACAAAACTACCGTAAATACTCATTGAACTGAACATAGAACTGCCTCTGTGGCCGACCGGTTACTATGCTGGACTGTCACGCAGAGATCCCAGGTGCGATTCCCCGGCCGGGATAAATATTTGTATCATATATTTCTCTCTCTCTGAGTTTAGGTGTAAAATGTGGTTGTCTATGTGTGTGTCCATGGCACCCGCGACACGGGGTTTCCCTAGTGCGGGGCTATGAGTGAGTGCGTTATTTTTACTTGATATTGGCGAAATCATCGATTATTTCGATAAGGGTCGTAACATTTAAAAAAAGAAGAAGACGCTTTAGACGAAGATAAAGCTAATTCATCCAAAACAGAGTTACGAGGTTTTGAAATTTAGCCGACGATACAAAACAAACACAATTAGATTATTTGTGGTGTTACGAGAACTTGCTTAATATTATGCAAGAAAATTATTTGGTAATTAATGACCAATTGCAACACAATGTAAACTGCCAAGACAGAAAAATGTCCAGTATAAGCCGGGTATTTACCAGACTACAATTTCTGCGTTATATTGCGAATTAAAACATCCCACAGCAATCAAATTTGTTTACCATACTATATACCTTATAAAATCTGTGTTGCCTAGCACAACGGTTACAAATCCCATGGCAAAAAAAGGTAAAACGCAAAATGTAACGGTTTTCGATAACACTGCGCAATTAAAACACTAAAAACTAAAATCTGTTTCCGTAATTATGTTTTATGGGGTTTGACAGGTTCATAAGAACGAAATACCATCATGTCAACTGACAATTTTTATCATTTTGATGTGGGTAGTCTCCTTTGGGTTCTGTACTCGCCAGTCTTATGTCTATGTAATTATTATATTTTGTGTAATTCTTAGTTATTAATAGAAAAGTGCCTGAAATTTCCCTGTGCGGTTGTACTAAATTTTGGTGAACAACCATTTGATATGTTCATTGGATGTTTATTATCTTGAACTTAGCCATAGATTGTATCTCTGGATGAACTCTTTAATCTATAGTGTCGCTTGGAAATTGCTTTATGGTAGTGAACGTCCAAAAGCGAGAATTTTTGCTTCCGGCACGTACCAGTGCAGTGGTGAGGTAATGTTCCAAGTCTAAACAGTGAGGGCTGCCTATAAAAGCCCCTCACGGTCCAAAAAGCCCAAAAATCCTTTCTCGGTTTGTTCCTTCTCGTACCTACATGATTAAAGTTTTCGTCTATCTGTTTAGTAAGTGTTTTCATACGTATCCCAGACTTGGGTGAGTGACTAGTTACTTTATTTAATCTTATTAATATTGCACTTCTGTATATGATCCAGATGCCATTTTGAGTGTATTGGAAGGTCAATTTCTGTTACAGCTTCACGTGTGGAAAGAATTCCATTTTATGTAGTTTATTGTCCCGAATTCACGAGAACAGTGTTGTAGTTCTTATATAGTAATTTTAAGTGTTCCCTGCTCGAATGAGTTTGTTAATAGATTCCCTTAATTTTTGCAAACTTGGTTAATCTATAATGTGTAACTTAGAATGCCTCAACGTACTGTAGTATAGTAATTTATTTGAACTTAGTAGAAATTGAGGCACGTTCAATTGCAGCTGTTTTTATACTCATCAGGACGCGCCGCGACCGGTGTTCTTTAGTGAATACCTGTTCATATATTTTTTGTGAATTTCAGGGTTCTATCGCCGGACGAAACTTGAGGACCTATCGCCTATCGTACCCACCTCTGCCCCCGTAGCATGGCCACGCATGATAGTCGCGACACGCGCGATAAAATTGAAATTAGCGCGCGCTATTGGCTATCTAAATTAGATCTGATTGAGACAGCCAATAGTACGCGCTTATTTCAATTTTATCGCGTATGTCGCGACTATCATGCGTAGCCATGCTACGGGGCAGAGCTTTATAAAACCGATGAAATATAAGTGTAAAACTATCCGTGACTTTTATTTATAATCTGTAGACTCGGGGTCCTAAACGCCGACGTTTCAAAAGGCGCTGCTCACCAAAGCAAATAATTGGTACTGTTCATGCTTTTCTAAAGTTGCACAACATAACAAATTCTTGATGGATCGAACTTTTACGAAAACAACAATGTTCTTCGTTGCTTTACCTTAGTTGAAACAGGCATTTAATGCTGCCCAAAATCTGTCTTACATTTTTGCAAGACCGACCCTGCAAGATTTTAGCAAGAACAAGTCGAGTCTGAAGAGACACTTGCATCTCGTAGTTACGTCAAACTACACGGCCACGTGACATTAGGTAAAAACAAATAACACGAGTGAAGTTAGCGAATTATACCAACAACAACATACACTGCAATTCGATAAACTAACTAACAAGCTTGTATCCGTAACATACTCCAACGCGTACTCCAATCAGTGTCTAACTCAAATTAGTATCAGTTTTCATTGTCTAAAATTTACCAACCAATATGATAGTAAAAATGTTCTAAGGTTAATTACATATGTCAATATGCACTTAAAATGTACTTAAGTACTCTGATGCGTTATTCAAAAGATATCACATGGTAGTTTGATAAGTAGCAATAGTTAATTGCCACGAGCTTATGCAGCAAGACAGTCAAAACATCTGGTATAGGTCTTGGTACGTTGGTGGCAACATACCAAGACCAATACCAGGTGTTTTGACGCGAGACCAAGCCCAAGTCCGGGGTTAGTATCGTCTTGGTATTTCATTGGGCAACACCACAGACATATATATGTCTGTGGGCAACACTACACTAAATTTCGAAAAATACTTTTGATCACACGTTTCTGTGTGTCGTTCACTGCCATGTTGTAGAAGGGTTAGTCGGTTTTATTTATTATTTCCACAATCTCAGTATAAATGTCTTCATAATATCGTCAGCATATAGCAAACTTATATCAATAAAAACTAAAAACGTACGCAGGCTACCGAATGCACATCCAATATCGTACCGACGCTCCTTTGAATGATTGATTGGATCGGTTTTCTTTTTATCCTTATCGCCAAGGTAAAAACTGATGATGGAGTGAGAACGTGTACTAAATGCAAAAACATAAATGAATGAATTTGAAACAGTACACATACATTCATAAACAACATGTTTTAATACATACCGCCTACTTACTATGATCATGCATACTTCTGCCTTATCTTCATTCGCGCTTCATACACTCATCCAACCCGGATACTAGCCGTCTGGTAAAAATGGTGATTATAAAATACCTGATCATCGATGTCCGGATAAAGTGCGTGGGCGCGGTAATGCTGTGCGTGGTGAGGATGGGGGGGCGCGGCCGGGCCGGGTGGCTGCGGCTGCGCGGTGCCGCCCGCGTACGCTCGCTGCATCACCGGCTCGCCCGTCGCCACTCACTCACTCCCTCTCACACCTGTCAACAAAATACACCTAAATAAAATGTCTGCATACTTCCATTATCCCTTTTAACATGAGTATATATAATAAATCCAATTGGAGTCGCAGGAAGGGAGCAATGGGATATAATACAGATGGATACAGAAATGCTAAAGATAAAGGGAGCCGTGTCCGAAGTTCTCTACTGATTCATGAGATACCAGAGTAATAATAGTGTTAGATTACTATTTTATATTTACACCGTTTCTATAAACTTTTCATACGAATGGCGTATATTCAAAACTCGTATTTTACAAACGTTGGAAAGATTAAATGTAAGCGATGCAAACGACGAGCCGGTGATCAAATTTGATTGAAAAATTACGTCTCTCACGTACCGAAGCGTGGGGATTGCAGCAGATCATTCTACCGATTCGTATGAATTAGAGACCCATGGTCCGTTCCTAGCATTCTATTGTCCCCAAAATGATACGTAAAAAATTACCAATACCTCCAATACCTGGCAGATACCTTGTCCAACATAATACCATATCCGTATACAGTGGGAAAGCTGCTCCCGCCGCGGGGATCCAATTTCACACTAAATGAAACTATTACATATATAATATATAACTTTGTGTCAAATACCTTATATGAAATAAAAACGTATGTGCTACTTGTTAGCCCTGAGAGATGACCGTGCTACGCCTAGACAAGGCAAGGGTCGGTGAAGCGTGTGAGTGTATTATATAATCGAAATCGGAAATCCGAACCGGACTTCCTTAGTGTAAAGTGTTTAATTACACAATCATTGCTTATCTTAGCTCGCGTTTGGGGCGTTGTACTCATTACGTTTTATTCAATAAATTTTCATCATTCAACGTTTTCTTCAGAATTTGGACCCTTTGTGCTCGGCAACAATATTACCAAGAGCTAAGTTTATCGTCGTTACAAAAATCTCCTAAGAGTGAAAGTAAAGACGGCGCATCTTCTTCCAATGCGCCAAATTTTGTACAACCTTGTCCCTTTCCATTGAGATGTGACATACATTTGCAAATTAGCTACCGGTTTTGCGTTTACTCTTCAATCCTGTAAAGGAGGGTTTGAAATCAATACAAATATATCTAGAAGTGAGAGGTAAAGAACCTTAAGTCCATGTTTCGGAATTTATGTGTTTTTACAAACATTGCTTTAGAATGCTAAAATTCACGCAATGATAAAAGACATTATGTCCTATCGTCAGTTGTTTTTTTTTAACATATTTTATGTGACCTTAACATTGATTATAAACACCTAATAAAGAGCCTCATTCTCTTAAAAATACCTTACACTTACAGATATTAAATCATATTACAAATGCTGTGTAAACTGCTTATTGCTAAGAAATAGATGCTCTCAACAAAGGCAAATTACACGTAGACTTCACGAGTTTTGTATTGACTTAATTATCGTTCCCCTCTGGAACACGAACATTCCGTTGAACCTAGCCGGCTGATCAATGTTCTATATCTGACTACAGCATTTGCATTGTTCCACGACGTCTATAATAAGTATACTAATACATTCATGTCGCTTATCTCCTAGATGTCCGTTATTGCACTTGGATAAGAAATTTTTTATAAAGATAATAACACTAAAAAGAAAGAACAGAAAAAAATTACGCGTTTTTGCGTAAATGTATTCAGCTCATGGTGGCAAAGACGTCTGTTTTATTTAGTTACGCGCAACGATCTTATATACATCAATTTGTTTTGTAAATTACAGTTGTAGTACTTAGTCTGTTCGATTATACTATCCGTGAATGTTCAATAGCTGTAGAGCTCCTTGTGAAAGAGTTCGTCCAGGGAAATACTGCCACCTGGCCTATTTCAGCCGCCAAGCAGTAATGTGAACATTACTGCCACTTACTACTCGTAAAAAAATGTATTAATTCCCTTACATCTTTCTTTTTATAATACCAAGCGACGGAACGAACAAGACGAGATGCTTGTCCATAGCAGTTGCTGAGCCACGCAGAGTTTTAATCGTAAAGATCTGAAAGACACTGTCGCAGTCAAGTCACCCTGAGACATAAGTTGATAAGTCTCAAGTGCTTGTAATTTAACCAGCACTCTTATCCTTCGAAACAGTAACGCAGTAATGCTCACATTACTGCTTGTTGGCGCAAAACAGGTTAGGTGGCAGTACGATCCTGGACGAACTTTCATTGTCACTCGGACTTTTTATTTTGATAAAAAGTCCGAGAGATAGTGAAATTATAAATTTATCTTTTGTTGATTCATTGTCGGTGGTATCCACTCCGTTCCTCGACCGCAACAGCATATCAGCGTTGGGTTGTTTTGCATGCACAACCCGACAAATGCTGAGTGATGACCATTCCGGATCTCTATGTTTCATATTAAGATTTACTTTATATTACTAGTAGAGACCAAATAAAAATTATATTCTTTCTTTCGAATGTCTTTTTCGCTCTTGGACATACACGTTTTCCTGACCGTCTTAATTCGATTCCATGTCGATATGTGTCGTAACTCTCTTATATCTTAAAGACCCCATGAATATAGAGAGGGAACGTAGAGCGTTGGAGGTAAAATGTTATACGGTGATACGAAAGTTTGTGCAGTTTAGTGAACATGTAAGTTTTAGTAGCAGTAGAGTTCCTTGTGAATGAGTTCGCAGAAAAGTAATGCCACCTTACCTATTTCTGCCGCCAAGCAGTAATGGGCTCATGGACCTTGTCGACGAGTGCGGTGGCAGTGGCCCTCAGATCTTTGCAATTTGAAGTTCCGAGTGGCACTGCAACTACTATGGTCGCTTACCACCAAGAAACACGACTTGTTCGTCCCGTCACTTAGTACCATAAAAATAAAATATAAAATCTTGCTATTTAAATCATAATGCTAAGTTTTCTAACGTCCACATTTTGAACCGACTATACACATAGGGCCATCAGTGCCCTGCGAGTACAATGTAACAACGGTTTTCGGATGTTGTAATGGCTGCCGCGGTTCTGCAGCGCGTCAGGCATATTTTTATCTCACATCACTATTGTTATTAAACACTGTGGACCGGTTTTTTTTTTTTTTTTTTTACTTATTAATGTGTGGAGATAAATAAACGAATTTGTCACTATCATTATTATTATTTGCAATGGCCACGTACAGATGACTTTTATACCATTATGCGCAAAAAGTCAGCCTCACTGCTCTGCGGACTGCGTGCCAACTCCAACCATACTAGAAACCATTGCCAGTAGAATTCGCTCTCCTTTTATGCGGCAACTTATTTCGCCTTGCGTCTGAGGCATACGAGTGAATTTATTTTTAATTTTTTAAATTTAGATTTAATAGTAACATAATATAAAGAACAATATTGTTACTAACGAATGTAGACTTGTTTGTTGTCTGAAAATAAAAAAATATTATTGTTATTATCTATTTTAGACTCTCGCCTCATCCATGGTCTAAAAAATTAATTTATAATTTTTAAATGGGAGAGGCGGTCTTCTCTGGCTGTGGTACAGTCAGCCGGAGTCAAGGACTCGGGTTCAAGAACCGGTGAACAATAGGTACGTGCCTTATTGAGCAGGATCGATTTTTGCATCTATGCTGGAAGCGACATCACAGAAATCCGCTTCAAGTTTGACAACATCGAGGCTAACTGGAATGAACTCGTTTGCGGATCCAACTATTGGGATTTTTTTTTATATCTGTCGTGCGCCTGGTGGTAAGCGACACGCCTGTCGATAACAGCTGCAGTGCCGCTCAGAGCTTCAAATCTAAACACGTCACTCTGAGGCATAGTTAAAAAGTCCCATGTGCGTGTAACCGTTTAAACCGAAATACAGTCATGCTCACATTATTGCAACGACAATGGATTATATCAGTAGAGGCCCCTGAAATATTATTATTATTATTATTATTATTACAACAACGTTAATTTTGATTGCATTATGAAAGGTAGGCTACGTCACTTAAAAAGGTGCCAGAACGACGTTGACCGCACATCCCGAAAAAGATAATAATGACGATCTTAATACGTGCCTGAACAGGCTGGCCGGACGCAGCGTAAGACCCAATTAGGCGGAAGTGCTTTGGAGAATCGCTTGTCTGACAACGCCCCACTGGAGACTACATAAAAAATAAATAAGCAATTTTCCCCCACAACTACTTTCTTTGAACAAAACTGAACGGAGTGCACTTATTAAACGTCTATTGATATTTTTTAAATATCCGTCAGAAAAATTATTGCTTCATTATTTTCTAGAAAATCTTATGTCTTTATAGAGAATACTAAAACGTCGAGTTGCGGAGACCAGCCCGTTACGCCAAGTACCAAGTAGAGAATACTAAAAGGATTTGGACAAGTATCTAAGCAACGAAGGAAATTACTTTGAAGTTTGTTCATAAGAATAGAATAAACATAAGCTAAGTTTTACTACGTCTTTCAGTAAAACTTATAATTAGATGAGATTGTTCAATAATTGTATTTTTTGTTATTGCATTTTATACTATTGCGTGTATTCAGATAGCCCGCCTGTCAGCGCAACGGACATATCGATACAGCCGCCACTCCAAAACCAGCATTACGTGCACACACGGCTTTTTTTAAATTATTTTCCCTTAACCACCATACCTATAACGCTCTAACACATACCACTATTTGTTTTGTAAGTAAACCAGAACGGGAAATTTCTAGCCTACCGCCGCTTGTACCCATATGCTGTGCTAAATAAATATGAACATCGCATAAGCTTTACCATGAGATACAATATCTGAAGTCTCCCGTATCTGTGATTGCGCTGACGCCACCTTCCGTATAACAGCAGTGCTGATTATTGATAGAAAGAAATAGGGGAGGAGGGATGTACTAGACCAGACCACAATTCGAATACGAAAATAAAATTTACCCATATTATGTCTTTACACCCGATCATTATTATAAATTGAGTAACAACCCAAATGCTAATAATATAATGAAGGTACTTTGAGATGTATATAAAATAGTATATAGAAATTACAACAATAAAAAGTAATT